ACTGTATTCAAATATTTAATTAGCACAAAATTTATCATAATACATAATCTGTAATCTAATGTAAGCTTTTGAGGACACATATCCAACTGAGAATACTGAAACACCAGACATAGAATGTGCATGTGATAACTGACATAGGAGTGCAGTGACAGTATGATAGATTTAAATGTATGAGTCAGAATGCCATACAGAGTGACTCAGCTCCTTCATAATAATACTATTACATCACCACAGCATCGTAACAATAAAACAGTAACAGTGTAATGAGAATGGACTTCTGGACTTTTGAGTCTTACTGACTGTGGGATTCAAATATTACACATGGGAAAATGAATGCGGCACATTTCTTGCCCTGCAAACCGTGTAGAACTCTGGCTTCACCTATAAATTTACTCTTCTCTGTGAAATGTTTTAAAAACATTTTCACATACATTATTTTCAAAACACTCTCTTCAGGTAAGCAGTCACAGCAAAGACTGCTGTTTGTCCTCTAACATGAATTTCTCTCTCTTCCATAGTAAGGAAACACTCACAATGGCAGGCTTCTCAAAACAAGGACTATAACATGTTAAGGTTTCATTAATTCCTGTCAATCAGTTTATTACAAAATATATGCATATTTCCTTAGGTTCAGGTCTTCTATAATTTTAACTGCTGCATACTTGTATTTTTCAAGCCACATCATTTCCCAAACATAATTACTAGTCCTTTTGAGTTTTTCTGGTCATTATGGGCTTTCATAACATCTAATGTCTTTTGCAAATTGAAGTACATACTACATACTTTAAGTACTACATACTTCCTCTCAGAGGGAAGATGTCAAAATATTAAAATGCCATTTATAAACCACAAACAGAATCCCTTCTTTTGTATTATTTTCAAGGAAAGTTTCACTCTACAGTCCGTTTTTAAAAAATCAATTAAGTCAAGCTTTGCATGATTACACAAATGTTTATTAAAAATACAAATGTCCTTTATCAACTTTATTTTCTTTACTAATACTATAATTCTACAGGGGTAAAAATACACATGAAGTCACTAAATTTGTCAGGCAGGAGTCTCTCCAGTCCTCTGCCTCACTAACCAAACTATTGCTTGCTGGTAATAATCCCACCATATGAATCGACTTTTTCTTGGCCCTTAAATCTTAAATATCCTTATTAAACATAGAAGAAAGTAATACTATCTTCAGTTAAGCATGCCACATAAACATACTATCATGGGTCACCTGACAGTCTGCCATGTAATGTAATCTAAGGTCTACTATTTTCACACCAGATCACTGGTCCAAATTCCATCTCCACAAATATACACTAAGATTATATATTCCAATATGGACCACTACCTTTCCAACCAATCCCACACCTACACTGAGCTTAGAGATTTATTTCATTTTTAAAGTATTTTCTGGTATCACATTCTTATTCGCCATCTCTGTATTTTCAGCATTGTGATGAAACAAGGTCAAGCCTACCCCATAGTCCCTAAACAGACACCTAGAGAAAAGCACTAAATTCCTGTAATATACAAACTGTAACACAAGCACAGAAAAAGCGACCACACATAAAAGGTGTACAATGATTTTCAAGAAGCAGAACTAAAAATTAGGCCTAAGTGACTCGCTGAGTAACAAAATTATTACTTTACATAATAGCATAAAATATTTCTAAGTGTTTCTCAGAATAAAAGCTAGCCACTGATTTGGAGTTCCTCAGGCAAATATCTTCACAACCTGGATGTACGCAAAAGTTTAAGACACAGAAAACAGTAACTATAAATTAAAATATTGAGAAATTAAACCTTTTCAATATTTAAAAGCCTCTGCTTGGGGGATCCCTGGATGGCTCAGCGGTTTAGCGCCTGCCTTCGGCCCAGGGCGTGATCTTGGGAGTCCCGGGATCAAGTCCCACATTGGACTTCTTGCATGGAGCCTGCTTTTCCCTCTGTTTCTGCCTGTGTCTCTGCCCCTCTCTGTGTCTCTCATGAATAAATAAATAAAATCTTAAAAAAAAAAAAAACCTCTGCTTGTTAAAAGACCTTATAAAAATGAGTAAGTAAGCCACAGACCAGAAAGAAAATATGTGCAAAATACATATTTGACAAAGGATCAATATCCACAATACATAAAAACCCCCACAACTTAATAATAAAAAGGTAAACCCAATAAAATATGAACAGAAGACATGAACAGATGCTTCACAGAAGGAAATAAACAAATGGCCAATAAGCACACATAAAAAGTGCTCTAGTATTATCAATCATCAGGGAAATACAAATTAAAAACATAGAAACCACAAACCACCCATTGGAGATGGACGAAATTAAAATGTTTAACAACTCTAATCCTTGGTAAGGATGCAGAGTCCTGGGACTTTCAAACTATGTTATGTAGTATAAAGTGGTACACTTTGTAAAAAAGGTTTAGCAGTAATTCTACTCCTAAATATTTGCCCAAAAGAAATTAAAAACATATGCTCATCAAGACTTACACAAAAATGGTCATAGTAGCTTATTCAAAACATCCCAAAACTAGAAACAGCCCTGATGTGCATCAAAAGGACAAACAAAATGTGGCATATTCACATAGAATACTTGCTACTAAGCAACTTAAAACGGGATGAACTACTGAAAAATGCAACAAGATGGATGAATCTGAATAACATTATGCTGAGTATGAAAGCAGTCTTACGAAAAGAGAATATATTGCCTGATTCTATTTATTCTATTCAGGATAGTTGGACAGGAGTGGGGGGAGGGCGCAGATCTAACTGGAAAGAACTTCCCAACATGCTGATAACATTCTATATCTTCATAGAAGTTTAGCGTATCTAGTTGTGTTCATTTGTCAAAACCATTTTTTAAAATATTTTATTTATTTGACAGAGAGAGAGAATGAGAGTACAAGCAGAGGAAGCAGAGAGGAGAGGGAGAGGGAGGCTCCCCATCCAGCAGGGAGCCTGACAAGGGGCTTGATCCCAGGAGCCTGACATCATGACCTGAGCTGAAGGCAGATACTTAACCAACTGAGCGAGCCACCCTGGTGCCCCTGTAAAAACTAAATGTACACTTACAATTTGTGCATTTCATGCATGCAACCTTTACTTGGAGAAAAAAAAATGTAAAAATAAAAAACAAAGAAACTTCTCTGTTAAAAACCAAGAGTGGAATCATACTTATTAAGCATTTTTTTAGAAGAAAAATACATTATATATTATCTAACTTAAGTATGTAAAAAAAACTGAATGACCTTTGCACTTATTTGGACGTCTGCCTGGCCTACTCCCTCACATGTTCTTTAGGTCTCTGCTAAAATCCAACTTTAACAGAAAGGCCTTCTCTAGCAACACTATTTCAACATCCCCAAGTCCCTCACTTTCTATCTTTGTGTCCTGCTTAATACTTATTCATAACCTTTAGTTCTCACCACAAGAACACATTGTTTATTCTAAGACTCTCTACACCAGGGGAATGTAAACTCCAAGAGAGCAGTGGGGAGAAGGAAAGTATTCTTTAACACATTATTCCATTTCCAACAAATCATTCAACTGCAATCCACTTGAGCTTTGAGGTAGATTTTAATGGGAGTGTCTGGCCTCCAAGGAATGGACAGAGAAATACAGTAAAGGGGGAATCTCTCCTCTCTTCTCTCATTTCCACCTTTTGGTCTCTGCTTAGAGGGAAGCTGGACTTTCCACTGAAATCCTCCTACTCCACATATCTGGGTCTTCTCCAGCCCTTACTTCCTCAGCAAAGAAGAGAAACTAATCTGATAAATCAGAATTTGTTATTAATTTGGCCACATTTTACTAGAGAGTGAAACCCTGAGCTAAGCTAGCCCATGTTCTAGCCAGCATCTTGTCTCCTCTAACTTAAGGAGACCAGGAGGTCCTGACTTTCTCACTGCTACCTATGACTGGCTGTGTGAAACAGGCCCATAGGGCTCATTCATTTTATATGTTGGGAAAGTCTAAACAATCTTCTTTGCAAACCTAGTGAAATTTCCAGTCTAGGCAACACGAGTATATCTGGAGTGGGAGGTTTCAAGCCTAAGCCATGTTCTCCAGTAGCTTTTTTCCTAAGAACCCTGAATTGAAGGTTATAGGATGCACAACTAGATTAATAAAAGTTTGTACCAATATTCCATTTGGACAGCAATCATTGGATATATAATACTGTAATATCAGTCAAAATACCAGAGAAGTTCTGAACTCCTAACTCAAAGAAAAATATAAAACAAAAACATAAAAATAATATAATACTCCATTAGTGCTAAAGAGCTTATTTTAATAAATTTGACTTTAATACAAGTGTAAAACAACACCCTAATATTTCAACTATAGTTAAACCCACACTTCAAAGCTAAGTCAATAATTAGTAACATGTTAATTCTGAAAAGTTTTTAACTACAAGAGTTATCAAATATAATACAAAACCCAAATATTTAATGCTTTCAGACACAATATTGAAAATAAATTTTTTAATATCCCAAGGCTATCAAAGGTCCTCCCCTGAAAAAAATCTTTTTTTATGCAACAAGTACAGTACCCTGCTGTTTATATTAAAACATTTTTTTAAAAAATTTCTAATGTTAGTGTGGTTTGAGTACTTCTATGCCATCCCCAAATGCCTTATGTACATACTAACTCTGCAGGTAGGTTCATGGTCTTGGTGAAAAAAAAGACATTAGTCACAGTGTTTAAAAATTGTAACTAGACTTTTAAATTATAAAATGAAGCAAGAAAGTTTAACATTATTTAGTACCTTTTTTTTCTCCTAGAAAAGTGAAAAGTAGCCATTAGAAAGAGACATAAGGGAAAATCTTTAAATTAAAATGATGAATCATTAAAGATACTACCACCAATGTACCCCAACCAACTAAGATCAGAAAGAAGTTAAGAATATGTGAAATGTTGAGGAGAATATTTCTTCTAAAATAAAATGAATGTGTTTTAAGAGAGAAAAAAAATAAGCTCTTAAAATGAAATTTACAAAGCAAAACATGGGCTTAGTAATTTATTAAAAATTATACCCCTAATTTTCTCTGGAGAAAGAGGAACATTATAAACAAGGGCATGAAACAGACTTCAGATCAAGACTTATACCAATACTCTGTTCTTGCTAAAAAATACTATTTAAAAAATTAAATTTCAAATATTTTCCACTTAATGTGGGTTAAAAAATACAATGTTTATATCTGAAATATAAACTAGTCATTTATTTTCATTCATAATATAAAGTGGTTTAGGTAAGGTCTACTTTTCTCAGTGCTCAAAGTTAAATAGGAATTGTTTTCCATATCTAGGAATTATAATGGTAATATGAAGTATAAGTTTAATTTTGAACTAAAGCTCAGAGATTCAATTTAAAATGTGTATGAAAATACCTAAATAAAACAAAGGCTTTAATTTTTATTATTTTGCAATGATAGTAAGTTTACTTTGTCTAACATTAGGAAAAAAAATCTAGCCTCCTTTATCAACATAAAACTATTAAATAATCACAACAGAATTTTTTAGATATAACTTAGGAAAACAGTTTCACATGATACACTCATAACACTCAATTACAATCCAGAAAGAGACAATCTCCCTGAAACAGAAAGAAGTTCTTTCTTTTTGTCACCTCCATTCCTTATATATAATCTTTATTTCACATCATTTACATAGAAGTATTTATCACAATCTGACAGGTAGATAAGAAAAAAATTTCTGCCTTTAGAACTCATAAAGTAAATTTACTCAGTCTTCTTAGTATGTTTCTTTTTAACAGTATCTGAAGCAACAGCTATAGGTTTTGAGGTCGATGAACCAGTACCATTAAAAGATGATTTTGTTTCACTTTTCTTTTCACATGATGAAAACTGCTGCTGCCAGCCAAATAGCATTCGACCCAATGTATCCTCAAGAGGAGCAAAAAGCACAGTAGTAGCAGTCTCTGTAATCATCATGGTTATCTGGAAAAAAAAAAAGTTCAATTTTGATTTTAAATACAAATGTTTTCTCCTTCTCAAAACTGAGGAGAAAGTAAATTTAAAAAGAGAGAAAGATTAAAAACACATTCTTAGTTTTTACTCTTTAAAAAAATGTTTTTTATTTAGGTATTATTGACATATAGTTTCAGGTGTAAAACATGATTCAATATTTGTATATATTACAAATGATCACAATAGGTCACCATACATAGTTACATATTTTCTATGCTATGATGAGAACTTTTAAGATTTATTCTTAGCAGCTTTCAAATATGCAATACACTATTATTAACTATAGTCATCATGCTGCACATTGCATCCCCATGACTTATAACCAGAAGTTCGTACCTTTTGGATCCCTTTACCCATTTCACTCCCCTGACTCCTTGCCTCTGGCAGCCACCAATCTATTCCTTATATTTAGGAGTTTTGTTTTATTTGTTTGTTTGTTCCATTTTTTAGATTTCATATACAAGTGAAATCATGTAGTATTTGTCTTTCTCTATCTGACTTATTTCACTTAGCATAATGTCTTCAAGATCCATCCAAGTTGTTGCAAATGGCAAGATTTCATTCTTTTTATGGCTGAGTAATTTCCATTGGATAAATACACACCCACATACACACACACACACACACACATACATATTACATCTTCATCCATCAACAGACATGTTGTTTCTATTATCCTGGCTATTGTAAATAATGCTGCAATGAACATTGGGGTGCATCTACCTTTTTGAATTAGTGTCATTTTCTTCAGATAAATATCCAGAGTGGAACCACGAGATCATACAGAGTTCTATATTTAATTTTCTGAGGAGCTTCCGTATTGTTTTGCATAGTGGCTGCACCAACTTACATTACCACCAATGGTGTACAAAGGTTCCTTTTCTCCACAACCTCACCAACACTTGTTATTTCTTGTCTTTTTGAAATAGCCATTCTGGCAGGTGTAAGGCGATATCTCTTTATGGTTCCAACTACATTTCTTGATGATCAGTGATGCTGAGCATGTTTTCATGTACCCATTGGCCATCTGTATGTCTTTGGAAAAATGTCTATTCAAAGCCGTCCATTTTTTTAACTGGATTATTTAGGTTTTTTGCTATTCAGTTATATGAGTTCTTTGTGTATTTTGGATATTAACCACTTATCAGATATATGATATGCTAATATTTTGTCCCTTTCATATTACTGACAGTTTCCTTTGCTGCAGTTTTTTGGTTTTATGTAGTTCCACTTGTTTGTCTTTGCTTTTAGTGTCAGATCAAAAAAAAAATGCCAAGACTGATGTCAAGAAGTTTACTGCCTATATCTTCTAGGAGTTTTATGGTTTTGGTTCTGGAATCCATTTTGAGTTAATTTTTGTGTGAGATAGTGGTCCAATTTATCCTTTTGCATGTGGCTCTCCACTTTTCCCAGCACCATTTACTGAAGAAACCATCCTTCCTCCATGGTATATTCTTGGCCGCTTTGTAGTAAATTAATTGACTGGATACGCATGGGTTTATTTCTGAGCTAAAAATGCATTCTTTAATCTTTAGGAGAAACAAACTAAGCTAGGTTCTAGAAAACCTCTGTTCTCTATAAGTTTATACTTAACCAAAGCAGAACATAACTCATTAACAATAATACAAGGCACCATGTTTATCGGTACCAAATGAGCAGTATAACCACAAAAATACAGTTAGTATTCAAAGGAAATAGGAAGGTAAAATATCTACAGTCTATAACAAACAACCAAGAACAGATACCATTAGTATGCTCTTAACATGTGCCAGAACTTTGATAAGTGTTCTATATGATCTTATCCTCTTTAAATTTACACCAACAATTACTACACTATTACTCTGAGCACAGAGATGTGAACCAAGGCTGACAGGTTCAGTAACTTGCCCAAAGTCACAGAACTAATAAGCAGTAAAGCAGTTTGGAACACTCAGATTTTGAGTTCAATCACTAAATACACTGAATTCCATCATTATCTAAGGTCACAGACTTTCAGTAAATTGTAGGATACTACCCTTAGGAGGGACAGTATAAAGTCTCTAATCATCCAATTTTTCCCACAGGTGTATTTATATCCAAAGCACCGAGACATTAAGAGGTAGAATATAAAGTGCTACCAATTCTTTATCTGGCAAAATGCACAGTGTTCAGAGATGTTCAGATACTCAAAAAATTAGATTGGTACCAATATGGATCTGAGGGGAGAACTAAGGACTAGGATGGTTCGAAAAAGCCCAAGAATTTCCAAAAGACAATTCCTCCAGCAGATCTAAGATAATGAATCACATTAGAAATTTTTGGAATCAAATCTCCACAAGAGGCCCCTACCTGATCCATTTGTTTAAGGAAAAAGGAATCAAGAAAAAATTCTTATGAAGTGCAATACTGTGTAGGTAGTGAGCAGTTGGGAGACAGAATAGGGGTCCATCAAGAAGAATGCATAAGTGAAATGCATACTGTGCACCTGTTAAACGTAAGAGAAAAGCAATATGGAAAAATTCCTAAAAATACTGTTAGGTGAAAATGAGACAAAGAACAAGAGCTACGGTATACTATTATTTAGATAAATTAAAAATGCATGAAGAGAAATCTCACAGAGGAAGACATAGACATGGCCAACATGCACATGAGAAAATGCTCTGCATCACTTGCCATCAGGGAAATACAAATCAAAACCACAATGAGATACCACCTCACACCAGTGAGAATGGGGAAAATTAATAAGGCAGGAAACAACAAATGTTGGAGAGGATGTGGAGAAAAGGGAACCCTCTTACACTGTTGGTGGGAATGTGAACTGGTGCAGCCACTCTGGAAAACTGTGTGGAGGTTCCTCAAAGAATTAAAAATAGACCTGCCCTACGACCCAGCAATTGCACTGTTAGGGATTTACCCCGAAGATTCAGATGCAATGAAACGCCGGGGCACCTGCACCCCGATGTTTCTAGCAGCCATGTCCACAATAGCCAAACTGTGGAAGGAGCCTCGGTGCCCATCGAAAGATGAATGGATAAAGAAGATGTGGTTTATGTATACAATGGAATATTACTCAGCCATTAGAAACAACAAATACCCAACATTTGCTTCAACGTGGATGGAACTGGAGGGTATTATGCTGAGTGAAGTAAGTCAATCGGAGAAGGACAAACAGCGTATGTTCTCACTCATTTGGGGAATATGAATAATAGTGAAGGGGAATATAAGGGAAGGGAGAAGAAATGTGTGGGAGATATCAGAAAGGGACACAGAACATAAAGACTTCTAACTCTGGGAAATGAACTAGGGGTGGTGGAAGGGGAGGAGGGCGGGGGGTGGGGGTGAATGGGTGACGGGCACGGAGGGGGACACTTGACGGGATGAGCACTGGGTGTTATTCTGTATGTTGGTAAATTGAACACCAATAAAAATTAATTTATAAAAAAAAATGCAAAGACACACAACATTGTGAATGTACAAAAAGTCACAGAATCGTATACTATGAAATAGTTTGTCTTGTTATTTTGACCTCAATAAAAGTAAACAAATAAAATACCGAACCTTTTAAAAACTGCATGCACACACATGGCCTCATGCCAGCCATGACTAGATAAACGCCATGTATCAGACTCAGTCTCTTACCAGAATCAATATAAAAAATAAATACATAAAACAACCATTAAAAGGCCCTGGAGAATAACAAATCAGGCGGAATCTAATGACGCTTTGAACCCTAAGAGAAAGTTAATTGAGCAAGGTGAGCTCCACATTCGACCTGTTTTTTTCTTTTAATGATATGTGTCAATTCACAGCATAGGACAAGAGCAAACACAAGTCCCAAAATGGACTAAGGACACAGAGGCTGCAGTGGAGAAGGCCAAAGCATCCAGGACTTGAGGGCAATACAGCTCAAGGCAAAGAGAAGCACAAAAAAGTGAGCCCAAAGACCCACACATAACTTGCCCTGGAGAAGTTTACCAACTTTAAACTGTACAAACATAGAAAGAGATTTCAAAAATCTAACAAAGAGCAACAGTTGGAAAGGTAAAAGCTGATCAGACACTTCAGCAACCAGCTGAAGGCTGGAGTTGAAGGCCAGCCAATGTGGAACTGCCTAGGGATATACCTCAGGTTTAAACCGAGACTCCACAAGGGTCACATTCTAGAAAGGCAAACTCAAAACACAACAGCATGAACAAAACCTAAAATCAACTATGAACAGGATTAAAATAATCTGCTTATGCATTACATCTTGCTGCCAGAAAAAAAGTTGAACACAGTCCCCACCCTTAAAGTCCTTACAGATCAGTCAGGGACAGGCTGGTCAGAGACAAAAGAAACCAGTAATTACAGAGCAGTAAACAGTAAATGCAGTGATGAGATCTGGCCACAAATAGTTAAGTAAGAGATACAGATTTGGAAGTCATTACTATACAACTAAAAGGTAAAGGGGTAAATATGAACATGGTCACCTGAAGAGAGAATACACAGTATGAGTCTAAATATAATGTTAATCTACAAGTTTATATCATTACTGGGTAAGATCTAAGAAGAACTTATTTATATGAAATTATTCCTTAGAATAAATAGTTAAAATAATGTGTATTAGCATAACTACCTTGGTCACAGCTTGACTTCATGGGACTGCCAATAACAAATAAAATAATTCAGTTAAAAACAATGGTTCACTGTCAGGAAAACAGCAATGTCTTTTACAAACACTAATAGAGAAGACTGTCAGGATCTAAAGTATTTCCTAAGAACATGAACTATAGTATTTTTCAAAGTCGAATGTTTTAATAGAATCTCCACTCCCAGTAGACTCATCACTCAGCTGAGAAGTATTGCTGGCATCAGAAATTACTGCTGAGATAGACTTATGAGGTTCAAGGACAAACTTCTGTGAATTCAGCCTCTTATCAGATCTTGATTCAGCAAGGTGACACCAATATAATGGTGACAAATGGAATGAACCTTTATTCTTTTACAAATAA